ACAGTGACTGTGTCCTCCACAGCCTCCTCACCCACAGTGACTGTGTCCTCCACAGCCTCCTCACCCACAGTGACTGTGTCCTCCACAGCCTCCTCGCCCCACCCATGACACCAGCCGCGTGTCTTGTGAGTGTCAGTTACCCCAGCACCCTGTGTCATCCACATCCTTGAGGTCCGGCGCTGGTTTGTGTGCTGCCCCTTCTGACAGGAAGCCAGAGGACACATTCAGCTTTTCCTTCATCATGATGGCATTCAGGCCATCATGTCCATCCGTTTTGTTTTTGCAGCTTGTTGGGGACATAACTTCTGTAACCCCATGCCTTATTTAATTCAAGCATCTGTAAGTCACAGAGGGCTGGGCAGGATGCTTCTAGACTGCTCCCTGGCTGCGCTGCTCTCCCGATGATTCACCCGCTGGCTGGCTGGCACAGGGTGTCACCGGTGACTGCCGCGGACGGCAGGGCTCCGTGCCCGTCACCCAGGGCAGAATTCCTGCAGTGGGAGTCCCCATGCACAGATAAAATCCCATCCTGGAATACATCGCATCCGTGTGGTGGACAGTAAGAGGACAGAGCTGCCCTGGCCCACAGCAGCCCTGGAGCTGGTCAGGCCCTGGCTGTAGGAGTCCTGATCCCTGGCCGCTCATGTTCTCCTCTACCAAGAGAACTGTCTTTCCTGGCGGCACAGTTCACAACCAAGCCCAGCTGTCCTGCATCTGCCCTTTGGGAGTCGGTGCAGTTGGCATTTTCCAAGTTTTATTCTGAGGACATTTTACGCATCAACTTTATCTGCCGCGTGAGGCAGGGTCCCTTTGCCTACTCCTTCCCAGAGGCCCCAGTCACAGCGTTCAGGGCTTGACCTGGGCCCTGGAGGAGGAGCTGAGAGTGGAGACTGGTGTGACCCAAAAGAGATGTCTGGCATCATACGTGTGCTCACAGCCAGGGCTGTCTGTGGGGTCACCTCCACACGGGGTGTGCTACAAGCACGGGGTCAGGGCTGTGGGGTCACCTCCACACGTGGTGTGCTACAAGCACGGGGTCAGGGCTGTGGGGTCACCTCCACACAGGGTGTGCTACAAACACGGGGTCAGGGCTGTGGGGTCACCTCCACACGCGGTGTGCTACAAACACGGGGTCAGGGCTGTCTGTGGAGTCACCTCCACACGGGGTGTGCTACAAGCACGGGGTCAGGGCTGTGGGGTCACCTCCACACGGGGTGTGCTACAAGCACGGGGTCAGGGCTGTGGGGTCACCTCCACACGCGGTGTGCTACAAGCACGGGGTCAGGGCTGTGGGGTCACCTCCACACGCAATGTGCTACAAGCACGGGGTCAGGGCTGTCTGTGGGGTCACCTCCACACGCGGTGTGCTACAAACACGGGGTCAGGGCTGTGGGGTCACCTCCACACGCAGTGTGCTACAAGCACGGGGTCAGGGCTGTGGGGTCACCTCCACACGGGGTATGCTACAAGCACGGGGTCAGGGCTGTGGGGTCACCTCCACACACGGTGTGCTACAAACACGGGGTCAGGGCTGTGCTGTGCATGCGCGGTGTGCTACAAGCTGTGCTGTGCATGCTCGGTGTGCTACAAGAACAAGGTCAGGGCTGTGGGGTCACCGGCACACGTGGCGTGCTACAAGAACGGGAGGCCCAGCCTGATGTGGGGAGTCCAGGGTGTGGGGGGCGCACCCCTGGGGCAGCGCTTAGGAGACAGCATGTGCTTCCTGTCTGGAGTACAGAGGCTCTGAAGACCGCGTAGGCAGCTCATGCACTGTCTTTAGAACCAGAGTCAAAATGCTGTCGTTTCTTCTGGCAAGAGCTGCGTGTGTGTGTGTGTGTGTGTGTGTGTGTGTGTGTGTGTGTGTGTGTGTGTATGTGTGCGCACAGAGGTTTCGATTAACTACGTTGGCTTGTGAATTCAGTGCATCGCAACCATGTCACCACCGTCCTCCTCCTCCGTCTCAGCCCTGGCTCACAGATCACAGCTCACAGATCACGGCTCACAGGTCACGGCTCACAGATCACAGATCACGGCTCACAGATCACGGCTCACAGATCACGGCTCACAGATCACGGCTCACAGATCACAGATCACAGCTCACAGCTCACAGATCACGGCTCACAGATCACGGCTCACAGCTCACAGATCACAGCTCACAGATCACAGCTCATGGCTCACAGATCATAGCTCACAGATCACGGCTCACAGATCACGGCTCACAGATCACAGCTCACAGATCACAGCTCACAGCTCACAGATCACAGATCACGGCTCACAGATCACGGCTCACAGATCACAGCTCACAGATCACGGCTCACAGATCACGGCTCACAGATCACGGCTCACAGATCACGGCTCACAGATCACGGCTCACAGCTCACAGATCACAGCTCACGGCTCACAGATCACGGCTCACAGATCACGGCTCACAGATCACGGCTCACAGATCACGGCTCACAGATCACGGCTCACAGATCACGGCTCACAGCTCACAGCTCACGGCTCACAGATCACGGCTCACAGATCACAGCTCACAGATCACGGCTCACAGATCACAGCTCACAGATCACAGCTCACAGCTCACGGCTCACAGATCACGGCTCACAGATCACAGATCAGAGCTCACAGATCACGGCTCACAGATCACGGCTCACAGATCACGGCTCACAGATCATGGCTCACAGATCACGGTTCACGGCTCACGGCTCACGGCTCACAGATCACGGCTCACAGATCACGGCTCACAGATCACGGCTCACAGATCACGGCTCACAGATCACGGCTCACAGATCACAGATCACAGCTCACAGATCACGGCTCACAGATCACGGCTCACAGATCACGGCTCACAGATCACGGCTCACAGATGTGCGCTGACGTCAGGACACATTGACCCTCCATCCTCTTCCACGCATCTCCCTCATTTCCCTCCCAGCTTCCTGGGATTAATTCTGTTGGACTGGGAGTTCGTTGTTCAAAGGAGTTACACCACCCCTTAGTGAATGTGTGTGTGTGTGCATTTGCCAGTGTATGTGTACACCCATGTAGTTGAGATCTCATTCTACGCAGCACGCTGTCACCAGCCCCGATTCTAGAGAGGGCAGCTGACAGGGCTGGCTCACGCCCTCTGCTCCCAGCCCCTCACATGGTGTCCTGGATGCACACTTGCACACGTTTGGGCTGGCTGGGCCTCTCTCCGCCTGTGTCTTAGTGGTGCAGGGCTGGGTCGTGGCTGTCGTGTTCCACACCACAGGCCCCCTGTCCCCTTGAGCTTTCTCCCCTTTATGCAAAATGTTGTTAAACAGCACCCCAACATTCTTTTACATTCAAGGAAGAGAGTGCGTGGTACCTGGGGTGCTGGAGAGGGTTTTTAGTGTGTTCTTCTCCATAGAAGGCAGTTTACTTTTCTGGGACGGGCTGCCTCCTCCCCGGGCGCTTCCCCCACACCGCACGTCTGAGGATTTGGGCTGATTGACTCTTGTTTGTTTTGTGCAGGCTCCGCCGTCGCCCTCCTCACCCATAGCTAATGAACCAAAGTTTGAGAAGCACTGGCTGGACAGTGTGTCCGTGCCTCTGTCCGTGGCCCGGATCTCCAGGTACAAAGCTGGCACGGAAAAGCTCAGGTGTGTGACTTGAGGTCCGGGAGGGGTGACTGCGTCTGTGCCCGGCACAGCGGGCCATCGGCTGCCCTGTGGTGCTGTGACGGTTGCCGATTGTGCTGTGATGCTCTGTGGAGCTGGAATTTGGGGGGATGGTGGAGAACGGGGGGAGGAGGACCACAGCGATCAGAGAGGCCGACGCGGACCAGGCTCTGCGCTGTCTCATGGCCGTTGTCACCACAGGAGAAATTCTAAACGTTCACAGAATTAGGTTCAAGATGATGAGACTGAATCTTGTCTAAAGGGTAAATAACTGCAGAAAAGCCATTTAAACTCAGTGGGCTTTGTTTTCTTTATGAATAGAATGAGAGGTTGGTCTAGCACCTGTGCTCAGTAATGCTGCTCGTCTGTGGGCTTTGTTAGTTTAGTAATATGAGCAATGCCTGTGGCGTGCTCTCTCTGCAGAGCGGCTTTGCTGTCAGTGGTGGGGCAGCACTCTGTCTGGCTCCACGGAGCCGGAAGCGAGCAGTCAGGGCTCTTCTGCTTTAAGAGGAGAGCGAGACTGCCCACCAGCACCAGTTAGCGCAGGAAAGTCTCACTGTTGTAAACAGCCTTCGTGAAATGTGGGTGTGTGGTGTGTGTGTGGCTGGAGTGTTTGTGGTGTTCGTGGTGTGTGGGCAGACAGTGCAAAGCGTGAGCTCTCTTCACTGGGCCTAGGGGCAGGCACTGAGCCACTGGCCTCGCTTTTGAGGAAGGACAAAATAAGAAAACAGGAAGGAGGTGATGAGATTATTATACACATGCACACACATGCACACATATGTGTATACACACACATGCACACGTGCACATACACAGAACACCCTCCCCAGGTGTGCACCGTGGGAGGAGACGCTGTGGACCTGGAAGTGTGTCCGTGTGAGGCTGCCTTCCCTCGCCCCGTCTGCTCTGGCAGGCAGCCTCTGCGAGTCTGTCTCTGAGGAGCACCGGGGATTATTATGATCTGCGCACAGCACTGCCAGTGTAAGCGTTCAGGAGATCTTTTCTCCTTCACCGAGCAAGATAAACTCATCACAGGCCCTCTCCTTTGAACGTAAACTTGATGCAACTTTTCTTTGTGTGTGGAGGTTTACTAGGCTTTCAAGATATGAGCTTAAAGTGCATAGAAAGGGTTTTAAAGTTTGAGGACCTGAATCCCAGTCGATGAAAGAATGTAAGAAGGCGCATGCCTGTCCCGGTCCCGAGCCGGGCTTCCGCCCAGCGCCGGGCTCCGTCTCTGTCTGTGGAAGCCGTGCCGACTCTTGACCCCAGAGCTCACAGCGTCGGGCGGCTGCCCACCCCGGCCAGCCCAGCACCGGCCTCTGTACCTCAGCAAAGCCAGCGCACAGGAGCCGACTGCCAGGGCTCGAGGAAAGGACTTGGTAATGGAACGCTTGTCCAGGAAAATTAATACCAGATCAGGGAGGAGCCAAGCTTCTCCCCCTTGACTGGAAGAACTGATGGAGACAGCTCTAGAATGCTCAAACACCAGGGTGTGCAGTGGTTCCAGTGCTTTCTCTGACTCCTTAGATGTTGCCACTGTCCCTGTGGGAGCTGTGACAAAGCACCAAGACGGGGAGGGGGGTTGGGGGGGAAGGGTGGCACTCATATACTGTGGGCCGCTGGTGTCACACATAGCACCACTAGTGTCACACGGAGACAGGGCTGCTGGTGTCACACAGAGACAGGGCCGCTGGTGTCACACAGAGACAGGGCCGCTGGTGTCACACAGAGACAGGGCCGCTGGTGTCACAAGGAGACAGGGCCGCTGGTGTCACAGGGAGACAGGGCCGCTGGTGTCACACGGAGACAGGGCCGCTGGTGTCACACAGAGACAGGGCTGCTGGTGTCACACAGAGACAGGGCCGCTGGTGTCACACAGAGACAGGGCCGCTGGTGTCACACAGAGACAAGGCCGCTGGTGTCACACAGAGACAGGGCCGCTGGTGTCACACAGAGACAGGGCCGCTGGTGTCACACAAACACAGGGCCGCTGGTGTCACAGGGAGACAGGGCCGCTGGTGTCACACAGAGACAGGGCCGCTGGTGTCACACAGAGACAGGGCCGCTGGTGTCACACAGAGACAGGGCCGCTGGTGTC